CCAGGCTGGAGTGCAGTGGCACAATCTCGGCTCACTGCAACCTCCGTCTTCCAGGTTCAAGCAATTCTCCTGCCTCAGCCTCCTGAGTAGCCAGGATTACAGGCACACACCACCACGCCCAGCTAATTTTTTTGTATTTTTAGTAGAGACAGGGTTTCACCATGTGGACCAGGCTGCTCTCAAACTCCTGACCTCAAGGGATATGCCTGCCTCGGCCTCCCAAAGTGCTGAGATTACAGACGCGAGCCACTGTGCCCAGCCACCAGCAATTTTATGCAGCAGCGGGGGCCAGAATGTAGTGACCCAGCTTCCAGCTCAGGGCTTTCCCATTCCATCCTCCCCATGGTACCGTCACCCTGACTCACAGCGGCCCTGAGCTGGACCAGCCAGGGCTTAGCCAAGGACCAAAGTGGGAGCAGAAGGGAAGGAGCTGGAAGACCATGTTCAAGACAGTGGGAGGTTTTGGTGCCACAAGAACAGACACATTAAAAGAACCAACCAATCCACAAAAAGATAAAAAATCAGGCAAACAATAAAAATTCCCAGACAACCCCAGATCATGGAAGACCCCAATGTAAACTCCAAGAAGGAGGACTGACAAAATTGAAAAGTGTTAAAGCAAATTCTTGAAGAGCTGCACACTGCATAGCAGTACGCCCTGTGAGCTGGAGGTATACTGCAAATGGCCGTTAAAAAGACCAGAGGTAATATACCAATACACGAACAGTGGTTGTTTCTGAGTAGTAGGATTGTGATTTTTTCCCTCTCCTTGACAGTCTATATTTTCTAATTTTTCTGCAAAGATTCTGTATTGTTCATGTAATAAGAAAAATTATTTGTAAAAAGGAAGGAAAGAAAAATATATCTAACAAGATAAAAATGGACTAAGCCTATGTATAGGTAATTTGCAGAAGAGGAAATCTAAGTCATCAATAAGCACATGAAAAGTTGTTCAACCTCACTGGTTGTACCACTTCTCATTCATCATGTTGGCAAGAATGGAAAAGTCTGAAAATATTGAGTATCAGGAAAGATTTGGAGACATTAATACTCTCATATGCTGCTGGGAGGAGTGTAAATTAGTAAGACCGCTTTGGGGAGAAATCTGGCAATAAGTAGTAAATTTGAAAATGCACATAGCAGTTTTGTTTTGAGATATATTCCTAGAGAAACTCTCATACTCATATGTACGCACAGGGAGATGTATGTGCTGTGGTGTGCTAGAGCCAACTTGTACAGCTTGCAAGACTGAGAGTGTTCAATTCTTCCCAACTCTGCATTTAGTGATGTCCTGTTGGCAGCTTGAAATCAGTCATGGCAGGAGTATTTCAAGAGAGCTGATAGTTAAACATTTGCCAGCACACCACTGCAAATAGGTTCTTTGCAGCTTTGCTTTTAGGAGAAAAGCATTGGCTAGTCTAATGTAGACTAGCCATTAGTAGAAGAACAGGCAAATAAATTGTAGTATTCTCATTCTATAAAATAGTGTACAGAATTTAAAAGAAAAGAATTAGATGTATGTATCAACATAGACTGATTTTTTAAAACATATATATATGTGTATATATATGTGTATATATATATATTTCTTGGCTTACTGCAGCCTCTACCTCCTAGGTTCCAGCGATTCTCCTGCCTCAGCTTCCCAAGTAGCTGGGATTACAGGCATGCACCACCATGCCAGGCTAATTTTTGTTTTTTTAGTAGAGACAGGGTTTCACCACGTTGGCCAGGTTGGTCTCGAACGCTTGACCTCAAGTGATCCACCGGCCTCGACCTCCCAAAGTGCTGAAACTACAGGCGTGAGCCACCACACCCAGCCAAAAACATACTTTTAAGCTAAGAAAGCAAGTGACTGAATGAAAGATTACATAAGATATGACTATGTAGATTGAAAATAGTATTTAATATTTATGGAACATATGTCTGTGTGTAAAATAATTTTTAAATTGAATGGAAGGATAAATACCAAATTTATCATGCTGATTGTCTTTGAGAGGAGGGCTATAGGAAGGAGATAGAGGACTTTATCTGAGGTGTTTTATTTCTTTTATTAATTCTGTATAAGCCGGGCTTTGGGAGACCAAGGCAGGTGGATCACAAGGTCAGGAGATGGAGACATCCTGGCTAACACAGTGAAACCCTGTCTCTACTAAAAATACAAAAAATTAGCCTGGCATGGTGGTGGGTGCCTGTAGTCCCAGCTACTCAGGACGCTGAGGCAGGAGAATCGCTTGAGCCCGGGAGGTACTGGTTGCAGTAAGCCGAGATTGCACCATTGCATTCCAGCCTGGAGCAAGACTCTGTCTCAAAATATATAAATAAATAAGCAAATAAATAAATTAAATTAAATAATTCTGCATAATGAGTAATGCTAACAAAACATTAACAACTGTCATTGTAGATGATAGAGTTGTGCATGCTTGTGATGGTCTCTGTATTTTCTGTATTTTTAAAATAAAGGAAGCAGTGCTATAAACTTTCTTGCTCTATTTATGATTACTATAATTAGGGGGGCTATGATTATGGGTACAATTAATTTATACAGGGTCTTTTTATTATGAAGCATAATTCCAGAACAGTTGAGTTTCTCTATGTGATTTGCCTTCATTTTATGGACACTAAGTAAGATTATAACTAATCATGTTGTTCTCTTTGCATTGGCTGCTAGGAAGCTCAGCTGCAGATATTTGGCCTGAAAACCTCTAGCAGTTATCCTGGACCTCCTATTTGCATTTACCTCATTCCTTGTTTTACCTTCTCTTTCTTACTCTCATTTTTTGTTTGCTGTGATTTCTACATTTATTTGTTTTATAATGTACTTCATTTTGTATCATATTTAAGTTTAGAAACTGCTTTGATTCTTTTCTGGAATGAAGCTGGTCGTAAATTAATTTATTTTTCAAATCCATCAGGTATGTAAGATGGGATCCAACAAGAGAGGGAGAAAGTCTCCTGAGTGCTCACTTAAAACATTAGCTAATATTAGAAGAGTATTTCCTCCTCTAAAGAGCCAGGAGAAGAAGTGAACAGATGGTTGCAAATACTAGCTAAGGTCAAAGCCAACGTCAGCAGAAGAAAAGGTCATCACAAGACTAGAGGGGGGCAGGTAGAAGGCAGGATCAGGAGCATAACAAGGCTACGTGCATCGTTCATTTATTCATTCACTCATTCATTCATTCATTCATTCATTCAGTAACTATTGAGCACCAGGCACCAGGTCAGAGGCAGGTAGGCTGCAAGGGAAGAAGAAAATGTACTGCACTGGGCAGAGGAGGCGGACCAGGCAGAAGGCCAACAGCAGCTCCTAGTGGCCCATCTAGATACCTGAGGGTCTAGAATTACCCAAATCCAGCTGGGGAAAACCCACACAGAGCAGCCAGGTGGTCTGGGCTGGAGGTGGCTGGTTGTTCTCACTCTGACAGGACTCCCCGTAGGGCCCTGGAAATCTTGGAATCCCTTGCGGTAGCTAAGCCAGGATTCAATTTACAGACACTCATTCCACACACAGCCCGAATTGACGCATGGTATTGCAAAGGTGAGAAAACAGAAAATATTGCAACTGGATGGTGGAATCTTAAAGCAACTACTGAGAAGCCTTGAAGTAAACCACTCCATGTCCCTGAGATGAACTTCTTCGTTTGCAAAATGGACACTACAATTCCTTGTCCGGTCAACCTCCTGACAGCAGATGTGAAGGAGAGAGGACTAGAATAGAGTGGACCATCAATAGGAGAGTAGTTTTATGTGTGTGAAGGAGCACCAAGTCGATTTTTCTACCCAAGCAACTAAGGGTGGTGAGGACAGCTCACTGTTGGCTTTCTGCCTTCCACAATGAGTGACATGAATTGGCCAAAGGGGGAGGGCAGAGAGAGGTGGGGTCTAGGGGTTTAAGAGACTCAGTACTGAGCAAATGAGTCCGTTTGGGAGGAAATGCCAAGTCTCTGAGTGCCATTGGCCTTGATAGTCTTCCCGGGCCCTGGCACAGCTATCCACCTCTTTCCCAAAGCCACACCCTTGAGGCTGGGGGCTGGGGATGCCCCATCTGATGGCAGCTCCTACCATCCCCAGGGGTACCCCCAGCCTCTCAGTTGTGCCTCATTTACCCGGGCTCTTCCCCCTACCACATTGGACAATTATAGTTTTCTTTCCAACAGTGATTCTGCCAGGACCTAAGGAAGGGGAGGCCCCTTTGGTTCCTTCAAATGCCACCCTGGCTATTGCCCAGTCCTCCTCTCCCAGTATTACCCCCACCGCATCCCTGTTCCAGGCAGGAGTTCAAAGGGAGGGGCTCTGAGATTGGTCCTGGAGCTGGGGCCTAACCTCAGGGAGCTTCCAGGATGATGGGAAGGCCAATGGGGGACTCCCTTCTTTATCTCAAGAACTTTAAAATGTAGAGAACAACCACACAACACACAGCTCAATTCAAAGAATTGGATTTCCCACCTGGGTATGACAGAGGCTGGAGCTGGGGGAGGGGTAGAGTAGGAAGGCCATGAACTTTGGAGTCATGCAAATCTGAGACCTGACATTTATAGCCCCAAATGCCTTTCCACAGCAATACAAATTAAAAAGTGAAAATAAATGAATTAAACACCTACACTGAAAAATCAGGGGAAAAAATCGTGAAGACTCCACGGCAAGGTTTTCTGAGGAGGGAAGTCTACCATCTCTCAGTTTTTCCTCCAATGTGTGTCGCTCTCAGAGGGGTCCTGCCCTGCAGACTTCATATGGGGTGTGGGAATCTATGGACACCGATTCCCACCCGTGCAAGAATGTGCCTTGCAGACTTCCAACTGCAGAGAGCATAACCGATCCATTTGCTGTGCCCAGTGTTGTATTATTGTCAGAGCAGATTAATAATAAGACCTCAGGTACATAGCAAGCAGCCATTGATTTGGTGAATACATTTTTTTCATTATAGTTAGAAAAGAGGATAGGAAACAGTTCACACTTAGATGGGAAAGACAAACTATTCATTTATGGTTTTGCCCCAGGACTACAGGAACTGTCCCACTCACTGTCATGATACAATCTGAAGATAACGGTACCACCTAGTCATCCTCAGACTCTCACATAACCTCAGGGAGATGACATCACGCTGACTGGACAGGACCAGCAAGAGGCAGCAGATATGCTGGAGACTTTGGTAAGATACACAAACTCCCAAGGGTGGAAGATTAACCCTAGGAGAATTCAGGGACCTGCCACTTCAGTGAAGTTGAGGGTTTCAGTGGACAGGGGGTGTGCTGAGATACCTTCTCCAAAATAAAGGACAAATTGCTGCATCTTGCATCTTCTACCACAATGAGGGAAGCACAGCCTGGGATAGAGCTCTTTGCATTCTGGAGGTAACACATTTCACATCAAGGAATATTGCTCCAGCCCATATCCTGGGTAGCTGAGAAGACAGCAAGGGGTGGGACCCAAAGAAAGAGAACATTCTGCAGCAGATCCAGACCAAGGTACAATCAGCCCTCTGTCTTGGTTCATATGATCTGGCAAATCCTACAGGGTTGGAGATGTTTGTGGTGGGAAAGGGCGCAGCATGGAGCTTATGGCAGGCTTCAGGACAAAGGCAGAATGAAGACCCAGAAATTCTGAAGCAAAGCCATGTAAGCCACAGCAGAGAATGACACTCCTTTTGTGAAACAGCTCCTGGCTGGCCTATTACAGACCCTGGTAGAGATGAAACACTTGATCATTGGAGGCCAGGTGACCGTTTGTATGGAACCGCCCATTATGATCTGTGTTTTGTTTATTCCTGCAAATCATAAAGTCAGACCAAGAGTGGTCCATTGTCAGATGCAAGTGGTACATCTGGATCAAGTTTGAGCAGCACCAGAGGCATGAGTGAGTTGCAGGAGCAGGCAGTCGGCCTAGACTCCCATGCCACCTACCAACCTTGTACCAATGATCTTCCCCTAAACAGCACATAGTTGCAAGTATGACATATGTGTGTGTGTGCACATGTCTGTGCATGTGTGTGTTGGGGGGTGTTTCTGTGTGACTAGCAACCAGCTGAAAAGGAAGGAAAAATCCTGAGTTTGGTTAAAGATGGATCAGTTTAATATGTGGATGCAAAGAGAAAAGAGATCGTGACTATACTATGGTCACATTCAAGGTGACTCTGGGAGACAGTGGAGAGGGAGCATCTTTCTGATGGATGGAGTTGTGATAAGTGCACCTGACTGCATTTGTATGGTGGGAGAAGCAGTCTGGAGTCAGAATATATACAGATTGTTGGGCAGGGGCCAATGCCCTGGCCATCTGGTCAGGTGTGTGGCAAATCAAAGTCAAGGACGTGTAGGAGTGGCATATGGATGGGCATCTGGAGTAGGTATGGAGTATGAAGACTGCTATATGAAAGGCTAGTGCTCATCAAGAAACAGTCACCACGGAAGATGCACCGAACAAGCCAGTGGACAGAAGGACCTGGACAGTCAACACTCGCCATCCTTATCATTGGCATCCCAGAGCCAGCATGACAGGCCTGTGAGCAGATGGGCTATGACGGCAGAGACCTGGGGCTGCTATTGGCCCAATGACATGGGCTTCCACCTACCCAAGGCTGATCTAGCTCCTGCCACTTCCGAATGTCCAACTTGTCCATAATGGAGACCCATATCAAACCCTTGAAATGGCATTGTTTCCTTGAGGAGACCAACTGGCCACCTGGTGGTAAGTTGACTGCATCAGGATCCTCTTATCCTGGAAGGTGCAGGGGGTCATCCTCTGCATCCTCCACCTGGAACAGGATGGATACCATCACATGGTATTCTAACGCTGTGTTTTCTCCCCTAGTTAAAGCAGGCCTCTTTGAAGGCATGGATGAGTCCTAGTGAGTTCCTCAGACCCTGGCAAAAATGAGGGACTCAATACACGTGTGCAGAGTGGCTGGGCCAAAAGACATTAAATGACGACTAGTGTCACATGCCCATGCACACACACTGCATATTGTTACATCTTGTTACTCCTCCCAGTAGCCCTCTGGGGAAGATATCATCAGTATCTCCCTTTTACAGATGGGGAAACTTAGCCAGAGAAAGATATAGTTGCTTGCTCAGGAGATATAGGGCCAGGTGTGGCTCCACAGTGGGTCATCAGCACCTCTGCTCTGATCACTACACTGCACCGTTGTCTGTCTACAGAGCTTGGGGAAGGAAGGCATGAGCGGACTGCAGTGGCCACCAAGGCGGGGTCTGAGATGCTCCTTAGATAATCAGAGAAAGGACTGGGACAGACATTCTAGGCAGAGAGGCACGTGACCGGTCCAGCAGACTGCTTGGTCTGAGGACTTGAGAGAGGTAAGGGCCAGGATCTGGAGTCATGGTGGGGCTTCCTGTCACCTGGGCAGTGTGAAAGGCTGCTGGGCAGGAGGCTGGATGGGGTGACGCCTGGTTTGGCAGTCACCGCAGTGTGCATCAGGAGGGTGGAGAGAGGGACTAGGGCAGGAAGGACAGATGGGAGATGTCTGCAGCTGTCTTGGGGGAGGAATGGAGACCCTGAGATCAGAGGCAGGCATAGGAGTCAATAGAAGTTGATTAACTCAAGAGTCATTACAAAGGAAGCCTCCTTTGGAGGCAAACAGGAGGGTCTGTCTGGGAATCATGGACTCTGCCCCTGGGAAATTGGCCTTGCTGGCCTTAGAGTTGCATTTTTTAGTTATTCTCACAAGCCCCTGGGGTGGGAGGAGGAAGGAGGAGACAGGGTAGAAAGATGGGGATTCGGGATCCACCAGCCCCCAAGCTCTTAGCCTCTGTCTCTGCAATGTCAGGAATGGGCTCAGACACCAAGATAAACAATGTGTTGACCTGGCCCAGGCTGAGAATGATGCTGATAGTGACTATGAATCAGCCCTAGGCTTTGGTCCAGGAGCGAGAGACGTTTCCCAGTCAGGGGGAAGGGAGAAAGCCAACCACTGTTCTGGAAATTTCCACTCACATTATCTCCCTCTGACAGGGGAGCAAACTGAGGGCTCCAGAGGGGACATGACTTGTTCAAGGTCACACAGCCAGTGAGAGGCAGTGTTTGAAAATGCACCCCTCTATCTTGAAGGCCAGAGTCACTGCAATTTGTGGGAATTTCCGGCCATGCAAAGCCCCCACTACTCCCACCCCCGCTGGAAGCCTTCCTGAGTTGTCTCCACCAGTCTAACCTGACGCTTTTTGGACTCACATTGCCTCGGTAGTTAGGAGTCTCCTTTGTTCCGCAGTAAACCAAGGCACCCCGAGGACCCTGGAGCGAGACATTCCTTTTCAATACGTCCGGCAGCTGATTATCACTCAGCAAGCCACACACTGATTGCTGATTGTCAGAGCTAGAGCAGAGATAAAGGGAAGCACACACGCCACATGGCCAGGCACCAGGGCTGCTCTAAAACGTTCCCATCTCCCTCCTTCCTGGCACATGGTAGCACTGCACACCTCTGCTCTCTTTGGAAGTTAAGTGAAGCCATATGGCTTGCCCTGACCTATAAAAATATGAGCAGAGGTGACAAATGACCCTTTTGGGCGGAAGCTTTAAGAGCCAGTGTGTAGTTGGCTATGTCTCCTTCCTGCTTGCAGGGATGAAAGCAGGCTTTGCCATGGAGTCGCAGGTGGCCGTGAGGGAGCCCCTCCCTTCTGCTCCACTTTGGAGCCAGAAATAAACTCTTATTGATTTTAAGGGTGGTTGTCGTTAGCATAGCTTAACCTAGCCTATCCTGACTGACACAGAAATTTGTACCTAGAGGTGGGGTGCTGTTAAAGCAAACAAAAAACAACAAAAATATGCAGTATTCTCTTAGAGATTCAGTGGCAGCAATGAGGAACTGATGTTGAAGGCTGGAGAGGTGGAGAAACGTGTGGTGAAATTCTCACCTGGAATTACTTGAAATGTAGGGAAAGAAGTTTGAAGACAGAAATTTACTAGTGTGGTTTGCTTGCTGTTGGCTGCATTTGGCAAAGTACTGCAGACGAGATGAGTTCAGAAACTGATTAAGGATGGGTCAGCCTAATACATGAGTGCTTATGATGGGATCAGTTTTGGATCTTTTGGGGTCTTTTGCTTCCAGCCAAGAAGAAGTAAGAGACTGGATTTACTGGCCCACCTGAAACAACTAAAAATATGAAACACTGATTTTCAAGACACTAGACCTCAGGCAACAAAGTCATCCCTAACTAGACCTCAGGCAACAAAGTCATTCCTAACTAGACCTCAGGCAACAAAGTCATCCCTAAGACACAACAAACAAATGAGATAGGTCCTGTGGCCGTCCCAGCTTGCTGCCTTGAGAGAGTTTCCAGGCCACAGTGCAGGGAGAAGGCAGGTCCCAGCAGACTCCCTGGGTTGAGAAGGTGGAAGGAAGTGAATGTAAGGGGGCCCAGGCTGTCTGAGTTCGCAGGGCACAGGACTGGAGAGGAGAGAGCCACACAGAGTAAGGACTCCAAAGAGCCACTAAGGGTCTCCCTCAGGCATTTAGCAGAGTTCCGATCAGCACCTGCCTTTGAGGAAGTCCCGTGAGCCAGCAAAAGAACCACCCAAAAGGGTTAGAAGGAACAGCACAGAAGCTCATGCGGGGCCAGGAATAGTACCTGCTCTCCAGCCAGACTGAAAAACCTCCTAATTCATAGGGCACTGGGCAAAGCACTCAGGAGGATCTTGCTTTAGTAGTCGGGGATGATTAGCTCTAGATGATGTTGTTTTGCTGAAACTAACTCATCACTGGCACTGTGATTATGGTATTGACTGCAGTGATATAGATTCCTTTGAGCTCAGCTTATTATCACCTTGTGTTGTGTGATGATCCAACTCCCTCGTCACTTTTTCCTCTATCCAATGTACTCTAAAGCCTTTGTTCATACAGCATTTTTGATGTCCCTGGGTGTGAACTCATTTATGTACTGTCTCCTTCTGATGTTAGTCCTTAAAAATAAAATAATACTAGTTGGTGCCAATAGGACTCTTACTCAAATGAACATGATGACTCTGAAATCACATTATGGTCCTTAATGTGATTATAAGTTATAAGATGTTAAGTAGATCAATGATTTTCTATCTTTTTTTTTTTTTTTTTTTTTTTTTGAGACAGGGTCTTGCTCTGTCACCCAGGCTGGAGTGCAGTGGCATCATTTTGACTCACTGCAGCCTCTGCCTTTCAGGCTCAAGCCACCCTCCCACCTCATCCTCCTGAGTGGCTGTGACTACAGGCACACACTCCCACAACACCTGGCTAACTTTTTAATGTTTTTTGTAGAGATAGGGTTTTATAATATTTCCCAGGCTGGTCTCGAACTACTGAGCTCAAACTATTTGCCCGACTTAGCTTCCTAAAGTGTTGGGATTACAGGTGTGAGGCACTGTGCCCTTGCAGAGGATCTGAAAAGTCACGACTATTTTCATAATAATTCTCTTTTTTACTGTGTTAAAATGTTCACTGATGGTGGAAAAGCAAAGGTGGCTAAAACTGCTGGTGCTTTTAGCATGAATCAGGGCAGACTATACTGACAGTCACTGACTCTGTGTGTGTGTGTGTGTTTTAACCATCATGCACTTGCAGTATTTTAAAAAAGCCAATTTTACTTAAGAATGTTCTTCATGAGGCAGTTAAAATTATTCGTGTTATTAAATATTGACCCTTGAGGACTTGCCATTTTAATATTCGAATTCAGTGTGACAAAATGGGAAAATGTATACAGCAGCTCTGCTGCATACAAAAGCATGGTGATTGTTTAAATGAAAGGGACTGGTGAGATTGAGTTGTGAGCTAAACTGCACATTTTTCATTGAGCACCGGTTTTACTTGAAAAACAGATAAGGTAAAGTTAATCAGACTTGCGTATTTGGCAGACATTATCTTGAAAAAAAAATGAAAGGAGCCCACCACTTCAAGGAAAATAATTGATAATCATTGTTGCCAATTATAAAATTCAAAATTTCACGTGTAAATTAGAATTTTGGAAAACTTGCATTTGCTACTGTGGGATTGACAGCTTCCCAATGCATTCTGATGGGTTGTGGTGTTAAGTAATTTTTAAAAAAAATATTGTTTAATTAAATGTGTCAATATTTGGAAGATCTACATAATTCAGTGAACTAATATTTTCTAAGTGATCAATGTATGACGTTTCAAAATCATGCACAGGCAAAAATCCATTTAAAGTGCAAGGTTGACAAATGGATTTTAATGTTACAGAGTATGAAAACATACTGATGTGATTTCAAATTCCACATTGCAATTAATCTTTAAGAAATTCCTTCTGGTTGAGTTTTGGTGCATGGTTAAGGGAGAATATCTACAATTACCTTCAAAATCTGTTAAAATACTCCTCCCTTTTTCAACTGCATGCTTGTGTAAAGCCAGATTTTCTTTATATACTTTAACCAAAACAACATTTCACAATAGAATGACTGCAAAAGCAGGAAGGAGAATCCAGCTATCTTCTATTAACCAAATAGCAAAGAGATTTCCAAAACAATGTCACTCATTTTATTACTTCTGTTTGTTTGGGAAAATACTAATATTTTGATTAAAATATGTTAATACATAATATGTTTATGGCTGTTATTTAAAAATGCATTAATAAGTATTTCAAAATGTTCTGTTTTTCTATTATGATAAATATTATTATCACTATTACTTATTTAAGACAGGATCTCACTCTGTCACCCAGGCAGACTCAATTTTGGCTCACTGTAGCCTCAACCTCCCAGGCTCAAGCAATCTTCCCACCTCAGCCCCCTGAGTAGCTGGGACTACGGGCACACACCACCACCGGCTAATTTTTTTGTATTTTTAGTAGAGATGAGGCTTTGCCATGTTGCCCAGGCTTGTCTCGAGCTCCTGGGCTCAAGTGATCTGCCTACCTGCCTTGGCCTCCCAAAGTACTGGGATTACAGGTGTCAGCCACTGCACCTGCCATGATAATTACTGATAGACGTATCTCATATGTTCCAGTTATCAATTTACTGACTCTCAGTTCCAAATTTATCCTTCACTACCCGCTCTCCAAAAACGGAGATGGGCCCATTAAATATTTTTCTTTTGCCAGCGGGCACAGGGGTAAGCTTTGTCAGTAGAGGGCTCTACAGAGACATAGCAGAAGGAAGGGATCTTCCTCCCACTGTTTTCTCTCGGCAGGCTCCTGCAGCTTTGGCTTCTCTCGTGCTCAGCTCTGCTGCCTTGTGACTAGCCTTTATCTTTGGTTACTGGACTGTCTCCTATCTCTAGAAGCCTGTAGGCATTAAGTAGCTTAATACAATTCAATTATAATGCAAACATTTGAATTCTGACACAAAAACTGAGATGTAAAGGTATGATTACTGTTCTGTGGTATAAAAACATAAAGGATTCATGGCTTTTCAAAGCATCCGCACCTCAGGACTTTAGCCAACTGAACTCTTAGAAAGGAAGATTCCCTGGCCGTATCTCCTTCCCTGATCAAATAAAGTGAGACCCAGACCCATGAGAACCTACAGGCCACTGGAATGACACCTCTTTAGAGTGTGAGAAGTCCTAATAGGTCCAGGGATCCTCTTCTTCTCTCCCAGTAGGTCTAGGGAGGTTGGGAGATGACAATAAAGCTGAGGGGTTTTTTTTGTTTGTTTTTTGTTTTTGTTACATTAATAAACTTGTGAGTTTCTTCTCTCTAGGTGAAGGCTTATTCATTTAAAGTGAACTTGAAGACTGGACTTCAATCAAAATAATGAAGAGAAAGGACCAAAATGGGGCCAAATCAACTGGGATAATGTGAGCTCTGACCATGCAGAGAAAAAAGGAGAGCAATTCATATGCTGAAGTCACCGCCGACTCCAGCAGCGGATGCCAGGGCAACGCTCAGGACCTCCTCACAGTCACCAGCCCAGGGGACACTCAGGACCAGCCCCTCCGCAGCTGAGGCCAGAGGTTCCAGAGGGCACATACTGCGTCAGTCTGAAGCCCCATCACTCCTGTACTGCCACATCCTGTGTATTTTTACCTAATGAAGCGAAGCCTAGCTTTGGAAATATGCATTATTTTATGCAATTAAAAGTTACTGGGGGACAGGTGGGCCTCCTGGAAAGCTGTGGTTACTCCCCTCTTCCTCTGCACACAGCAGTAGTCTCAGCAGAGGCAGAGAAAAAAAAGGAGAAAGGGAAAAAATTATTGGGATAAATTAAATTGTAGGATTTCTTGCTTCTGTTACCCAGTGGATAGTGATTTGAAGGAGATCAGATCAATGACTAGAGAAAAAAATATATATATATTTCTCTGAATAGTTAAAGGTAACAAAAGTAAATGTGTGACCTTGCTACTTGGATATACTTTATTGTTCCACCTAAATAATACCCACTCTATGAACAAGGCTCCCCGCCACACACCAGACAGCTGATGCTCAATACGTACTTATTAAATGGAAGTTACTAAGCTCCAACCATGTACTCTATAGCAGGATTTGGCAAACTTTTTCCGCACAGGGCCAGACAGTAAATATTTAGGTTTTGCCGCATAGGATCCTTGTAGCAACTACTCAAGTCTGCTGTTGTGGCTTAAAGGCAGCCATAGACAATATGTAAACAAGGCCGTGTTCCAAGAAAACTTTATTTAAACACTGCATGTTCTTACTTATAATTGGGAGCTGAACAATGTGAACCCATGGGCACAGGGAGGGGAACAACACATACTGGGGTCTTTGGGGGAGGCGGGGGGAGGGAGAACACTGGGAAAAATGGCTGATGCATGCTGGGCTTAATACATAGGTGATGGGTTGACAGGTGCAGCAAATCACCATAGTACGTATTTACCTATGTAACAAACCTGCACACCCTGCACATGTACCACAGAACTTAAAAAAAATTAGCAAAAAGACCCCAAAACTTTAATTACAAAAACAAGCAGTGGGCTAGTCTGACCCACTATAGCCGTGGGCTGTAGTTTGCTAACCTCTGCCCTAAATCATAGCAGCCAGAGTGCCCATGCTATTGCCTAGTAGTCTCTGGAGAATAATGGCCTCTCTTCTTTCACCCTCCAGATCTCACGTGAGTGCCCTCACAGCCAACTCTAATCCAGAACCACCCTGAAGGGAATTCTGGGAAATGTAGTTCTTGGCTTCTCCTCTTCAAGAGGGTGGCAGTGATGCTAAATTGACAACAGATAATCCAGCATACCAGCGTGTCTGAATCACCTAAGATTTACAGGCCAAGGTGCCAGGATGATAGAAACCAACTTTTCAGAATCACCTATTGTTCTTTGGATTAAAACACTAGATTAGGCTTGTGTGTGGGTGACACAAAATCCAAAATAAAAGTGTTTCACTGAGGCAATTTAATTCTGTCTCATATCAGGTAGGCTTGGGGTGGTGCTCCACAGTGGCAGGAGCTCAGGTTCCTTCAATCTCGATACTCCACCATTCGTGGTTTCCCTGCCAGCATCACTTCCTGGCTCCAGGTGGCTGCAGGAAGCAGGCCAACTTTCCAGCCAATAGGAAGGAGGAAGGGCTGATGAAGGGCATAGCCCCTCCATTTACAAATATTTTCCAGAAAGTGTCTCTGCCACTTCTGTTTCCATGCCATTGGCCAGAGCTTAGTCACAAGGACAAACTTAGCTGCAAGACAGAATAAGAAATTGACTTTTTATTTCAGTTTTTATTCAGAAATTTAGTTTTTAGCTGGCCTTGTCACAGCTAAAAATCAGTGGTCTATGACCAAGGAAGAAAAAACAAATATTAAAACACTATCAGTGGTCTTTGACATACCAAAGTATCACAATCACACTTTGCAAAGGATAAGATTCTGAAACCACATCACGTTATTACAGGCCAGTATTACAGAGTTGCATCATATTCTTACAGGCCAATGTTCTGAAATGCTGTGCTATTATAGACCAGGGATTCTGAATCACTTAAGATTCTCATTGGCTAAGGTTCTAGAATTAAATAGTAGTTTTTCAGGCCAAGATTCCAAAGTCACATAAGATTCCTACAAGCCAAGATTCAAAATCACAAAACCTAATAAGCCAACCTTTGCAAATCACATGAAATTCTTGTGAGCAAACATCCAGAAATATATGAGATTTCTACAGAACAAGTTTCAAAACTCATGCAAGATTCCTACCAGCCAACGTACATGGAGATCAAGATTCCAAAATTAAACTGAACTTCTTGTAGACTAGGCTTCCAGACTCACACAATATTCTTATAGAGCAAGTTTCTGATGCCATACCATGTGATCATAGTGCTATTCTGACAGCTATGATCCTGGAATCAAACATATTTATTTCAAGCCAAGTTTTCAGAATCACATAATGTTTTAATAAACCAAGTTTTCAGAAACATATAAGTTTATTATAAATCAAGTTTCCAGAAGCACACAAGGTTATAAAATGGCATAACATTGTTAAAAGCCAAAATTGCAAATCACATATCATTTTTACAGGTCAATATTCCAGAATCACCTGAAGTTCTTTCAACCATTGTATCTAGAAACACACAGCATTCCTCGAGGCTAACATTCCATAAATCCATATAATTCTTACAAACCAAGTTTCCAGAATCAAACAATGTTCTTAAATAACCTGAGTTCTTGAATCCTACATAATTCTTGTAGATGACATTCCTGGTCTCTGGTTTCCTAAGTCTCCCAAATGAGCTAGCAATTGAAGTTGACTGTGTTTTCTCCCAAATTAGGATTCACAAAATATTACCTTTTTCAATGCCAGTGGCAGGTGCTCTCCCTCTCTCAGGAACCCCAACATAATGTCCTACAAGAGGCAGGAGGACCAGAGTGGTATTAACACTGTATGAAAGCTTAATAATAATAATAATTAGAACAACATTTATTCAATGCCTACCATGTGCCTCATACTAAGTTCCTGACATGCTTCATCTCATTTAACCATCCCAGTCACTCTGTGGTTGAATTATCTGTGTAATTAGTTATCATCAATATTCTCATTTTATAGATTAAAAAATCCAGTCTAAGAAAGATTAGGTAAGTTGACTAAGGTCATACAACTATGAAGTAGCAGATTCCAAATTATAACCTTGGTTGTTGATTCCAGGGCTACTTCTAGCATTGGGGCAGAGCATAGGATAAGGCTCTCTTTTATTAGGCCTCTCCCTTTGGGATCAAAACTACTAAATTTCAGCAGAAACATGATCAAAGGAACCATCTGAAGAAATGATCCTTCCTTGGGGTGGGCAAGAGGTGAGGTGCCTAGGTGACTCAGAGAGGCATACATCTAAATAAGGTGGTGATACGGTGTGGTTGTGTCCCCACCCAAATCTTATCTTGAATTGTAGCTCCCATAACTCTCACGTGTTGTGGGAGGTACCCAGTGGGAAATAACTGAATCATGGGGACAGTTCCCCCCATACTCTTCTCATGGTAGTGAATAAGTCTCACATGATCTAATGCTTTTATAAAAGGAAACCCCTTTTGCGTGATTCTCATTCACTCTTTTGTCTGCTGCCATGTAAGACATGTCTTTCGCCTTCTGCTACAATTGTGAGGCCTCCCCAGCCACGTGGAACTGTGAGTCCTTTAAACCTCATTTTCTTTATAAATTACCCAGTCTTGGGTATGTCTTTATCAGCAGCATGAAAATGGACTAGTATAGCTGGTCAGGATGAAGCTTCCAGTGCATTCTCATGTAACATAACCCATTGTGTTGGCACATGTAGGAAGAATGAATGCATTGGCTAAGCAGCTGTACCCTTCAGTGTGTTTTCAAAGGGTAAGTTAGCAGTCTTTAATTGGCAGTAAATAGGGAAAAGGGGATTCCTGGACTGGCTGAGAGGAGTGCTCTGGTCCATTTGGTAAATAAATTCCTAAAGTGAAAGTTGAGTTCATTATTCAGTAGTTACTCGTTGAGCTTCTCTTGTATACCTGGATCTGGAGATAAAACACTATGAAGATGTTTAAGGCAAAATTTTTGTCTTTAAGAAGTGCCACTTAACCAGGAGAAATAGGTGAACAAAGATAAAACATTAGTGCAGCTAGGAGAGGACTGCATCTGTGTGCATGTGTGTATGCAAGTGTGTGCATGTGCATACACATATGTGCAGGTGTGTGTACACATCCATGCATGTGTGTGTGTATGTGTATGCACAAGGAGATGGGGAAAAGAAAGTTTCATGGAGATGAAGGAGGTAAGCTGCATTTAGAAGGGCAAGAAAGAAGTCTGCTAGGTGGGGTGGTTTTGGCAGAGGTGGTGGGAGGCCTTTCCATCCAGAGGATCCACCATTATGCAGGTTGTTCAGGGGAAAGGGCATCAGCATGCATGAAGAACCATGAAGCACAAGTCCTATCTTAGAAATAGAGCTTATGTTAGGAAGTTAGGGATCTGGGAGAGTTTAGGGCAGATTGGGTCTTGTTTGGATCTGTCCCGGAGGCTACAGAGAGGCACTGAACATGAGGATGTAAGGAGTCTGGGCACAAGTGTGTGAAGGCTGTGGTGGGAAAATGACCACAGAAAGGTCCCCACCCTTTGATCACCTTCTCTGGGATCTTGTATTTGGGGAACAGATGTTTCAGTTGAATGAATATTCTATACTCTTGCTCTAACACATTTTCATTATGATTGTTTTAAGAACTATCATGTCGAAAATAATCTTTGGAAATGTTTAAGACACTGATTTTTAAAACTATGCTTGGGGAGGAATGGCTACTCAACTTCCTGACCTCATTCTCTCAAGGCCCCTGCCCAAGGAGGCCCAGCCTCAGGTTTGGCTTCTCTCTTTTTACCACAAAGGAGTGGCAGTTATCTCTAGTCAACTGATACT